GGTTCAAGCCCAGATTAACTCCAGAGCTCTCCTGAAGAGCTGTATTGTTTCAAGGGACACATAAGAAGGTGGGAGGAAGAGATTTTAAAAGCAAAAAGAGGGGTGCTTGGGTGGCTCAGTCAGCTGAGTGTCCAACTCTTGATTTCCGCTCAGGTCATAATCTTAGGATCTGGGGACTGAGCCCTGCTCTGTGCTGAGCATGGAATCTGTCTCAGATTTTCTCTTCCTTTGCCCCTCCCCCACCTAAAAAATAAATAAATAAAAATAATAAATGGGAAAAATAAAATAAGTAAAAGCAGGAAATAATCTGTCTGAAGACTATGAAAAGGTTATCAGCAAAAATTCCTATGACCCAAAAAAACTAGATTTTCATCCCAAGGCTCTTCAGCAACAGTATTTAAACTCTTCATTTAGTTGTTCATATTACAAAGAAGCTCAAATTAAATGAACTGTGAACTCCATTTCATACATATCACCTTGCACATAATACTCAACTTTTAAACACTGTTAGCCTGTTTACTTTACTGCTTAGGTGTCATTTCTATTGTGATAACCACATGGTACTTCTGTACAAAAGATATTTTAAAAATCAGTATTACTCTGGGGCGCCTGGGTGGCTCAGTGGGTTAAAGCCTCTGCCTTCGGCTCAGATCATGATCCCAGGATCCTGCTTCCTCCTCTCTCTCTGCCTGTCTCTCTGCCTCCTTGCAATCTCTGCCTGTCAAATAAATAAAATCTTAAAAAAAAAAAAAGAAAGAAAGAAAAGACAAAACATCCTGCCCACAATACTTATCCTTAAGCAACACAAAAGGAAAAAGATATATTCAAATTGAAGGATAGTCTACAAAACAACACATCTCTTAAAATGTCAATGTCATGAAAGACCTCTTCCTTCCTAAAATTGGGCTTTAGGAACTGTCTTGGGGTAAGAGCCAGGACAACTAAAGGACATTATTAAAACCAAGAAAATACACAATAGAGACGGTATATGAGATGATATGTCAGTAGTACTAAAGCTCCGGAGTATAAAACTGTATGTGGTTGTGTAGGAGAAATCTCTTTATTCTTTGGAAATGGATGCCGAAATATTTTGGCATGATGTCTGCAAGTAACCCTTATATGTCTCAGCAAAATATAAACACGTCTGCATGTGTGTGTGTGCAAAGAGAACACAAAAATGTGGCAACATGTCCAAAACTGATCAATTTAGTCAAAAGGGTATATGGGTAACCACTGTACCATTCTTTACACTTGTCTGAAGGTTTAAATGTCATCAAAATAAAAGGTTGGGGCAGAAAATACTCCAAGACACAAAACTCAGGAATCTTAATGTAAATATTACCTAAGGATTAAGGCAGAATAAGAGAATCATTTTTTCATGAGGCACCTGGGTGGTGCAGTCAGTTTAGCATGGGACTCGGTTTCTCCTGGTTTCGGCTCAGGCCGTGATCAGGGAGATTAAGCCCTGCATTGGGCTCTGTGCTCAGCAGGGAGTCTGCTTCAGATTCTCTCTCTCCCCCTCTCCTTCTGCCCCACACTCTGTGCTCTCTCTTCCTCTCTCTAAAATAAATAAATAAATCTTTTTAAAAAATCATTCTCTTTGGTAAAAGTAAGAAAAGCAGAGAAAGGAGTCAAGAAGCAGAAGTCATGAAGCAGGAAGGATAGGAATTCAGACCGCTGTGACTCCGATCTCTATCTTCCTATCCTTGTAACCCCAAGGACAAACACCCTATTGGCAAGAACCAAGTAAGCAAAGCTCTGTGCGCAGAAACAGTGGGTATTCACTCACCCACCAATATTTATTAAATATCTATGTATCAGACTCCATGGCAGCAGCACAGCAGTATAAATAAGAACACAGACTCTGGAATCTGAGTGTGCAGGTTCAAATCCCAGCATTACCAAATCCCAGCTCTACCATTTGCTATTTGCGTATCTTTTAGCAAATTACTCAATCTCTCTGTGCTTTGATATCTTCGTTTTTAAAGGGAAGATAATAACAACACCTAATTTAAAGTGTTGTTATGAAGATTAGATGACATAACAAATGGGGCACCTGGGTGGCTCAGTCAGCTCAGAGGGGAGTCTGCTTCTCCCTCTCCTGCCTCTCCCCTGCCCCCCAGCCTTTCCCCCCAGCTTATGCTCTCTCTCTCAAATAAGTAAAATCTTAAAAAAATAAAAATTTTAAAAAGCTCTTATATTTCTTGCTTATTATTTGTTTTTATTTATATTAAAGATTTTTATTTATTTATTTGAGAGAGAGAGAGAGAATCACAACTAGGCAGAAAAGCAGGCAGAGAGAGAGGGGAAAGCAGGATCCCCGCTGAGCAGAGAGCCCAACTCGGGACTTGATCCCAGAAGTCCGAGAACATGACCTGAGCCGAAGGCAGAAGCTTAGCCCACTGAGCCACCCAGGTGCCCCTATTTATTTTTAAAGGGAATCATTTATCTGGTTATTTCTCTTTGTATATATAGATTAGATATTTGTTAACTGGAGAATTCTGCTCTGTACATGAGTGTTCAGATGCTAGGTAAATAAGGTAAATGATATTCTAGTACACCTGAAATTTGAAAAGTTTTTTTTTTTTTGAAGATTTTATTTTTAAGTAATCTCTACACTCAGCATGGGGCTTAAACTTTAACACGGAGATCAAGAGTGGAATGAGCTGATTGACCCAGCCATGCACCCCAAACTTTTAAAAGTTTTATTGGAGAATCAGTTCTCTATTTCAGCATAGTAAACTATTCTAAAACTCAGCAGCTTAAAACAACTATAAACATTATCTCATATGGTTTCTGTGGCTCAGGAATATGGGAGCAGGTTAACTGATTCTGGCTATAAGGCTGTCATGTTTCTGGGGGCTCCGGCTATCTGAAGGCCTGCCTGGGGCTAGAGGATCCACTTCTAAGCTTACCCACACGGCTGCTGGCAGCAGGCCATCATTTCTCACTGGCTATTGCTGGAGGCTCAGTCCCTCACCACATAGACCTCTACAAACTGCTTGAGTTTGGTCAAGACATAGCAGCTGGCTTCCCTCTAGAGCCTTCTGTCTCTATGGATTTGCCTATTCTAGACATTTCATATAAAAGGAATCATACAGTAAGTGCCCTTTCATGAGTGGCTTCTTTCACTCAGCCTAATGTTTTCAAGGCTCATCTGTGTTGTAGCAGGTGTCAGAACTTCATTCCTTTTTAAGGAAGAATAATATTTCATTGTATGGATAAACCACATTTTAAAAATTCATGTATCAGTTAATGGACATTTGGCTTGTTTTTACTCTTTGGCTCTTATGAATAATGCTGCTATGACCATTTGTGTCAAGTTTTTGTGTGGATGCATGTTTTTGTAGTTCTTAGGTATATACCTAAGTGTTGAAGCCTGTATTTTATCCCTCTGTAGGATTGCAGTAGAATTCTAGCTGGACTTGTCACCTCTTTAATTGGTCTTTCACTTTGCTATCCAAGTGATATTTCTGACATGGAGATTTAATCACATCTTATCTCTATTTCTGTGTTTTCAGTGGCTCCTTGTAGCTTTCAGGAAAAAGTCCAAACTCAGCTTATCACATAGGCCATTTCTGATCTGGCTCCTGCCTTCCTTTAAGATTTTCCTGCCATGCTTTTCATTCTTGTTCACTTAACCTCAAATGATGTCATGCTTTTGTCCATTAAGGTTTTCATGCTTCTACCATTGTCTCGAATGGTTTATCACTCTCTTTGAATGGAATATAACTACTTATTCTTTAGAAATCAGCTCTGGTTCCATTTGTGATAAACTTTATTATCTTTAATTAATTAATTTTAACATTTTATCTATTTATTTGAGAGAGAAAGAGAGAGCGTGTGCACAAGCAAGGGCGAGGGGCAGAGGGAGAAGCAGAAGCAGACTCCCCACTGAGCAGGGAGCCAGATGCAGGGCTAGATCCCAGGACCCTTAGATCATGACCTGAGCCGAAGGCAGACACTTTACTGATTGAGCCACCCAGGTGCCCCAATACAAAACCTTTTATTGAAAGGCCTGAAGCGTTACAGAATAATGTCTTTCAAGGGGGAAAAAAAATAACAACACTTCAAATAAAAGCTAAAACCACTCTTTAAGAAAGGTTACATTTTTTAAAAAGTGGTTAAAAAAAAAAGGAATAAAAATAACAAAAGGGTAAATGTGTGACCAGTAATAAGAAACTTTTTTTAAATTCAATCAATTAACATGTAGTGTATTATTAGCTTCAGAGCTAGAGATCAGTGATTCACCAATTTTCCATAATACCCACTGCCCATTACATCCCGTCCCCTTCTTAATGTCCATCACCAGTTACTCGATCCCCCATCCCCCTTCCCTCCAGCAACCCTCAGTTTGTTTCCTACAATTAAGAGTCTGACAAGGGATCTTTTGGGGGACCTGGGACTGTAACACTGGAGTGTAGCAATGGTTGCACAATTCTACAAATTTACTAAAAATCATTGACTTGTACACTTCCAACAGGCAAATTTTGCAGCATATAGATTACATATCAATAAAGCTGTTTCTTAAAAACGTATTTGTTTGCTGAAGCAAGAAGGGCGAATTAGAGTTTCTCTGACTGAAGAAAGAAAGCAGTGAAGAGAAAAAGTACAATAATTCATTCTACAGACAGGAAAATAAAAATGAAAACTGCACAGATTCAGAAATACTAATGTTTCCATTTCAGCCCAATAAACGACAGTATTCTGTCACTGGGTTACTCACTATAAACCTTGCTAAGACCACAAAAGCTTACCGTCTTAAGAGTAAAAAGACAATAGATTGGGAGACATTCAATGTGGAATCAGGGGAAGGAAAACTCTGACTTAATGTCCTGTCACCTAGGAGAGAGGTAACAATTTATTCTGATCCCATGTTATTGCATAGGCCTGAGATGTAGAGATGGTACCTCCTATCCGAACGGAATTTCAAGAGGAAATTTAAAAGCAGAAAATCAAATCTAGAATCATCTTAAAAGAATGTATGACAATTTCTTTACCAGTAAGATGACAACAGTCAATTCCCTCAGCCAGCAAAACATCCAAATAGGGGATTTTTTGGTATTTCTGGAGAAGAATAATTTGCATTGGTTCAGGGGCTTTTGCAGAAGCTGCCGGAGATAGCAGCGCTGTATTTTACTTACCCAAGGGCAACTACAGAGATCAAGCGAAACTGCACCTATAAACAACCACAATTCACATTTGCTTTGAGCTATGAAAATATTAACCTACTCTGACCTCCCCTGCACCAACATCAGCAAAGCCTGGGTCAAGAGTCTCAACTTCCCAAAACAGCACAGGTGTCTCTAATTTCAGACCTGCTAGTCTCCTTTCTGCCTTTGGCTAAATCAGTAGCAAGTCTGTTTTTATTTTCTAGATAAAAACAAAAACAAAAAATTCCACTAACTCGTGTAGGCATTTTCTTTTTTTTTTTCTTCTTCACAAAAGAAGGTTCTAGCAGACATAAATGACATAATGAAGACAGAAACGAAGCAACATGTACCAAGATCTAACTCGCTTTCCTCTAAATGGCTACAATAAGGGTCAAAATAGCTCAAGGTGGTGATATCCATGAGGTTATAAACACTCAGACTTGAGAAAGTATAACGTCAATGAACTTTATATATTTCAATAAAAGAACATAGTATGAAAATAGCATGCCTAATAGCATTTACAGTAGTGTGCCTAATCCTTAGTAGGAGTTCAGTAAATTTTAGTTTCTTTCCTTTCCATTAATTCTTACAGTATTTCCACGAAATAGTTCCTGTTTATTACCACCCCAATAAAAAGCAGGAAAACAGAAAGAAGAGAATCTCCTGAGTGACCACCCAGGCCAGACCCAACATTCAGGTCTCTAGATGATAATGAAGGGAAATCATCTGCAGAAGTTAAACTTTCATCAACCCTCCCTACCTTAGGCAGTAGTGTCAATTCCAAAGACCATGGTTCCCTTTGCTACAGAAAAGTAGCTCAGTGAGGCACCTGGCTGGCTTAGTCATAGAGCATGCAACTCTTGATCTCAGGGCTGAGAGTTCAAGACGTACATTGGACATAAAGATTACTTAAAAAAAGAAAATGGTAACTCGACTGTCTTTGCTTATGGCAATGTATTTATGATTGCTGTTCTTGCAAGTTGTCTCAAGAACTTTTGCTGTTTTAGGTGCAAGAGTCCAAGGCTGTCATCAACCCTCAGAACCTTATATTCAAGTTCACAGGATTCCTGGTTGGGAGGGTTGTAGGGAGTAGTGTCATTTTTTTTTTTGGCTATCAAGTTCACTCTCTGAGTGATCCAAGTTTCCTGCACCAATGAGCAATGGGATCTCCACATACCTAAGACCACAGGAAACTAGAACTATGTGAACTAGCCCTACCTTACTTTGACAGGAAATGTTCTGACAGAAATAGGTTTGCAGAGCTGTGTGAAGCTGCCATCTATAGCTTTTTTGTGGGCATCTGACACAAGACAGATATAGGAGCCCAAGCCATATCTGGTGTATTTTTGTTTAGCACAGAGCTGAAGCTAGGAACACAAGCATGCTGTGTCAAATCAAACTCTAGTGGGTGCAGATAGACAGATTCTGTCATCGGTAACAAAATTTACAATTGCCATGATTGCCTGGCTACTGTCAAAACAGGCCCTTTGTTGCGTTTAGTCTACCATTCACATAAGCTACTGAGTGTCAGAGTAACCAGAAGAACTAGCTAGCCTGTCACTAGCCATTACCCCAAGGTGGTTTACATGATGGCTCTAATATAAAACTTCTGGCCTCCAACGACTGGATCATGGTTTGTACACGCATGTGTGTGAATTCATGGTTCTGTTCTATAACCACCAAAATTTTTAACTGGTTGAGCTGTTTCTTGGCATTCAATAAATTCTGAAAAGACACTAGACATAGTACACAACATTAAATAATCAACAAAGAGAGACCATCATGGGGCTATGATTTATTCTAGTTCAGCAGAATTGAAAATACTAACAAAACAGCTTAGGAAAGGAGCAGGAAAAAGCAAATAAACCTGGGACCTACCTTGTTTACAACTCCCACAGACAGATGAAATTCAATTCCATGCCAACCATACCCCTCGATCACTAAAACACAAAGAGAAAAATAAAAGTTCACGCAATATAAGCAGTTCTTGAGGTTCCTAAAGGGCATTTGGTTTCAAAGGTATAAAGCTGTTTATCTCCTATCTTCTTCATGCCTACAACAGTGGTTAAGCTCTGTCACTGGCAAAAAGGCCCAAATAGGTGGAGTTAAATAGTAGCTAACACTTGACTGAGCACTTACTATATATGCTACGCACTGTTCTAAGCACTTAAAAATACTAATTTAATCCTCAACAACCCTATGAGATAATTACTCTTATTAAGTCATTTTATATCCAAATTGCAACTGACCTATACCTCTGAAAATTGCTTTTACTGGTGTTAAAAAATGGCTTTTAAATAAACGCAGGTGATCTCAACTACTGTAGCTGGGCTGTTTCGATGGCTGACATATCTAGAAATGTTTCATATTCATCCATTCATTATGTATTCCTCGAGTCCCCACAGTGTGCTAAAGAGGATTCATCCTCTGTCCCTTAGGAGAAACTAGTTGGGAAGATCAGACTATAATAGAAGAAATGCTTCAAGAAATGGAATGCCCTTTTGAGGTACATCCTTTTGTACAATCATTCAGTAAAAATAATAACCTTTGAGAAAAGGGGAGGAAAGCTTCACATAAAAGCTGGACCTTTAAAAACGGGTATAGCAGCAAAGAGAGGAGAAAGGCTTTTCAGGCAAGGAAATGATAACAAAAACATGGTGGCAAGGACAGACACCGTGTATCTGAGATCCTTCATAATCTGATCCCACCCAGCCACTGATCTCCCTCCCCTCCCCCATTAGCTAATACCAAACTTCTTACTTCTGGGACAATCTTTGATAGTCCCACTGCTTTCCTACTACATAATAAAATGTTCTTCCCCCCTTTTCCCTGGTAAGTAACATCAACTAATCTTAGTACATAGTAGGCACTCAATACAATATAGCCACTTAGAAATAATTTTTATTATTAAAGATCCAATTGAAATATTTTTCTAAAGCCTTTTCCAATTCCCCAGAGTTAATCTACTCGCCTCTCCACTACACTCACATGGCATTTGTCCATCTTTCCATTAGAGCAATAAAATATTTTATGGTCCCCAGGTTTCCTTTTTTCCTTTTCTCTTACATGTACAAACAGAAACCATCTTTCATACAACTCAGTGTTCCCTAAGACCTAACACAGTGTCTGGCATATAACAAGTGCCCATACAATGGGCAACAATTCTTGTTGACTGAAATACCAATTGACTGTTTACAAAATAAATAAAAATAGGATTCCTCTAAAATGTCAGCTCCTTTAATACATTTAAATGATTCAGTGTGTCAAAATCTAATGCACTTTTACATTTTCATGAATACATCTGCCACATAATTATGCTAACAACTCAGATACAAAAAGTCAAAGTGGATTCACTAAAAACTACCAGGCTCACTAGTTTTTGCTTGACAACAAAATGAGGTCCCATTCATGCCAACTGAGCCAGAAGAAATTAACTGAATTGATAATTTAGATATTGTGGCCGGAGACCATACTCACTGAAATAGTGCCAGTTTCATTCGCAGTCTGTATGTTTAAGTAGGTGTTCATACTGGCTTTAGTCATGAATCGTAGAGGTTACAGATTTAGAAGTCCAAGCATAAATCCATGATTTATTTATAGAAACTTTCCATATGGTAGGAGTTTAAGAAGTAAAACAGCAGCTTTTTTGCCTGCCGAAAACAGAGGGTAGCAGAGCGCCAAAGGAATAAACCCTCTACTGGCTCTGCTCTTGGCACTGTTTAAAGCATAGGAAGAAATGTGCAGGGCAAGCAAGAGCCTTACTGAAAATCAGTCACCCAGGACAACGGGCAATTAGAATGTCTGTGCTATTCAATGCTTAAATATTAATTTTTATACGTGCCCAAGTTCACTTAAAGCACAACTTGTGGCTTGGAACTTAAAAAATGTTCTAATGTGCTGGTTTGCCCACATATTAATGAAGTCAGCCAGGTTTTAACATGCCAAACTTAAAATACTCCCTAAATCATTATGCAAAGTTATGAACTCAATCCTGCACTCTCAGGAAAAGACACTTAAGGGAGAAAGACGAAAGCAGTAGTATTTCAAGGGAAGCCATAACAGAAAATGTCAACTCCTACAGAGTGATGAGTTATCTTTTAAAAATAGATGAAGAGAAAGAAGATAAAAGATAATGACAAATTACTTACAATTATTAATATCAAAATGAGATCCAGGATTTTTAGATCAATATTGTCAGAGAATGTATTTTGAAACTGATTTCTACACGAGACCATCTTATAAAAAAGTTGTTTCAGTCATCCACTGACTAAGCCCCTTTAGAATCCAAGTCTTATGTTACACTGAAATGAGTTATATTTTTATGTGAACAGTTTTATAAGCAAAGTTCTTCTAATCTTTTATATTACTGGCTTTAGAGAAATGCCAATAAAACCTAGAATGACTAAAACTTTATAACTAGACCATGGAAGCCCACACATCCAATCCCTTTATTCTCAGTTGAGAAACCAGACTAGAAGAAGTTCAGTGACTTGATAACAGAAACACTTGGGCCCAAATCTGATCACTAGCCCAGTGTATTTATCCTACTACATACTACACAACACACTGCTTTACGAAGATAGAAAATGTTCTGGAAATTACAACAGAAGAAAAAATGTAAATACCTACACTTTTCCCTAACTTTTGAAAAGAATTTAAAAATTAGATGTATGTGCCCTGATGTTCTAGAAAGGCTGTTCCTTAAAAATTGAGGCATTAGAAAATTCTAACAGTTATTTTCAAGGCTTTTGGCTCAAAACACGCCCACAGAGAATCTCCACTGGAAATGCAGCTTTAAAAAAAGTTTCCCTTACAGGGGCACCTGGATGGCTCAGTGGGTTAAACCTCTGCCTTTGGCTCAGGTCATGATCTCAGGGTCCTGGGATCGAAGCCCCACATCGGGCTCTCTGCACGGTGGGGAGCCTGCTTCCTCCTCTCTCTCTCTCTCTCTCTCTGCCTGCCCCTCCACCTACTTGAGATTGAAATAAATAATATCTTTAAAAAAAAAAAAGTTTCTCTTACATTCCAAAGGAAATGAGAATAATTTTTACAATCTAAGTAAGATGAGATCATCCTCATCTTCTAAAATATAAACCTCATACACACAAAAATAAATAATTTCACAAAATTCAGGATCTTCTTTCAAGCAAGCAGTTCACCTGAAAGAAGGCTACTGCCTCATGTGGGGAGAAAAAGATGCAAAGAATTAAAAAGAAAGTAAAACTTGGGATGAAAGAGGAGAAAAGGAAATAAAGATAGAGGAAAGAAAATCAATATAAAGGTTTGATTCCAATATCAAAAACAGAAGAGAAAAAACAATTCCTAATTAAATCAGTGAAGCACAGTGTTTAAGCCAGCAGCCTTAACAAGGTGTGGTCACCTACCTCCTACCTTCTCAAACTGAACACCTACCAGAAAAACTTCAATCTCATTCTGCCTCATTTCTCTGCTTAAGTCTTTCTTCCAGTTACAAAGAGCAATAAGTAGACTGGGCCTCCTGGAGGAAGTGGAGGAGTCAGAAAGGTCAGCCCACATAGCCCCTCACGAGTCTAGCCCAGGCTGGAGCTATTAGAGAGTCTCAAAAGGAGACAGTCAAAAAAGATCACTGTTTCCAGATGTATCCATAAGCTCCTCTAGAAGAAACTAGAAACCTCCAAGCAGCAAAGTATTCTGCTCCCTTTCACATCCACCAAAAAGCTTTCCTTTCCAATAATCAATTTAACCTGGAAAGAGAGTTTAAAGAACAGTTAATAATCAGGGTGCCCCAACAATAGATTATTTTAATTTTCAAAAACTGGTAATATATAACTATGATTTAAAAAAAATTAAACACAGGGACGCCTGGGTGGCTCAGTCGGTTAAGCCCCTGCCTTCCGCTCAGGTCATGATCCCAGGGTCCTGGGATCGAGCCCTGCATGCTCAGCAGCGAGCGTGCTTCTCCCTCTCCGTCAGCCTGCCATTACCCCAGATTGTGCTCTATCAAGTTTTTAAAAAATTAAACACACAATAAGGTATATAGTAAGAAATAGGCTTCTTTCCCACCCCAGCCTTCCAGTACTCCTTTCCAGAAACAATTTCAAGTTTGTTTTTTTTTTTTTTTAATGTATTTGACAGAGAGAGAGAGAGACAGCAAGAGAGCGAACACAAGCAGGGGGAGTGGGAGAGGGAGAAGCAGGCTGCCCCATGCAGGGAGCCCTATGGGGGGCTGGATCCATGAGCCTGGGGTCATGACCTGAGCCCAAGGCAGACAGATGCTTAAGGACTGAGCCACCCAGGTGCCCCATCGAGTTTCTTATAAAATGTAACATTTTCTTAATGACTGAATGACTCTCTTATGCTTACAGATGTGACTGCAGGAGAAGGACATCAGATGACTGAGCTTGTTACTGCATTACCAGAAAGAGCATATCTCCACCATCAGGGAAGTCTGAGCATCTATACAGGGACACCTGCCTTCAGTGTGGCACAGCATATCTGTGCCCTCCCTATGCATACTCCTACCCACATGTATACATAGCTACACCTAAAGGAGAGGGCTTCTTGGGCACGGGGGGCGGGGGGGAATGTTAAAATATACTTCACATGAAATTTGCCATTTTAACCATTTTCAAGTGTACGATTCAGTGGCATTAAGTGCATTCACAATACTGTGCAACCATCACCACTATCCATCTCCAGAATGGTTCATCATCCAAAACAGAAACTATACCCATCAGACAGTAACTCCCCATTTCCCCTCCCTCTATTCTACTTTCTGTCTATGTACTGCCTATTCTAGGTGCCTCATATAAGTGGAATTATACAATATCTGTCCCTTTGAATTTTTTTTTTTAGATTTTATTTATTTGACAGACAGACATCACAAGTAGACAGAGAGGCAGGCAGAGAGAGAGGAAGGAAAACAGGCTTCCCACCTGTTCCCATCCTTTCCCAGAAAGGA